GAAGGAAGACAACACCTGTTTTATCTGGGTGTGCCTTGCTGCTGCCTGCTTCTCCATAGCAAGGGAAAACCACATTTCAAAGAATTTTATTCACTTTATACACATATGGTTAATTTGAGGTTTTTTTTTCCTTCTCAGGAAAAGTTCTTGTCCATGGGAATGCAGGGATTTCTAGAAGGTAGGAAATGATCCACCCTGATATAAATCTTTTTAAACAATTGAAAGATATTTTTCTAACTTTTATATTTATTTTTTTTCCAGTGCTGCCTTAGTTATTGCATACATAATGGAAACATTTGGGGTGAAGTACAGGTAAGAGAAGTTATTCAGGTATTCAGGAAAGCTCAAACCACAGAGACTTTGATATATTTTAAGTGGTTTTTTTTTTCTCTTTTTAAGGGATGCATTTACTTATGTCCAAGAAAGAAGATTCTGTATTAATCCTAATGCTGGATTTGTCCATCAACTTCAGGTGACTTTTTTAAAATTCTTGATCATAACTGAAAAGTCATTTAATGAATCATCTTCCTGCCAAATAGATATTTACACAAATATGCTTCAAAGAAATGTCAGGAGCTGGAGGAAAGCTTGGGAGGAAGATGAGTGGGCACCTCAGTTCTTTAGAGTGAAGCTTTGGACAAAACAAATCCAGGAATGGAGGAGAAATAAAAATCCTGGTTTGTGCAGTGATTGAGAGGCTCTGAAATGTCTTGGCTGGTGCTGAAGGAGCTGCACAGGAAATGTTGTTTTTTTCCTTAAAGCCATTTCTTTAGTCATCCTTGAACTTTTCTTTTCCTCTGATTTCCTGATGGTTTTTGTCATTGATGTCAAAGCAACAGAGAATTCTCCCCCTCCCAAATGTGTGTCTGAATATGAGGTGTTCCCTGAATTTGCCCTGTTCATCCTTAAAAAGCTTTATTATTGCCAGAGTAATTCCAATCCACATTTTTGGCCATTTTTAGGAATATGAAGCCATCTATCTAGCAAAATTAACCATCCAGATGATGTCACCTCTGCAGCTGGAGAGATCCCTCTCAGTCCCACCTGGCAGCACAGGTGAGAAGCTTCTGCTGGGGCTGTCAGGGGATTTTCCAAACCTTTAGCAGCACAATCCCAAACTTTTGGGATTTTAATGTGCAAGCTGAGTTGAAACTTCACTGTGAAATGTTTCAATGTCCTGCTTTGCCCTGGCTGAAGTTCCCCTTTGCCTCCTGCAGGAAGTTTGAAGAGGATGCACGAGGAGGATGAAGATCTTGGCACCATGCAGGTGGCAGCAGCACAGAATGGCTGAGGACAAGAACTGCTGGTAGTGAGAATTCCTGCCAAGAAAGGTGAAGAAAACTAGGGGAAAACAAAAAAAAAAACACACAAAAACCAGAACAAGAATTAATGCAAAACAATGAACACACATAGCTTCTTTTCAATTACATGTTGCTTTCAGATGTAAATCTGCCTCTGCAACACACTAAGCATCATTTTTAAGATGTTGGACTTCTTGAATGAATAGATGGCACTGATTGTTTTACTCCTTTTTTACACTTTACAGTTTTATTCTAAACCAAGATTTTTGGACTTGCAAAGAGGTATTATTGCAATAATGCACTTTTCATACTTGAAATTTCTTTATTTGTATGATATAAAGTTATTACTTTAAACAAAATGCAAGCGGGGGGGGATTTGTTTATAAAGTTATTTGTGTAATTTATAACAAGAGACTTTAGTAAAGAAAAAGTTTGCTAAAATCCACCTTGTTCTCAGTATGTATTATGGCAGAAATGTGCCTTAGGAACATAAACATAGAGGTTAATTCAAGTTGGAACTATCTAGAACATCCTCAAATGGTTTTCAAGGAGTAGGGGCATCATTTGAGGTAAAAATTGGATTTTTCTTTGAAAACTGAGGCCCAGGCACTGCTCATAATGGGATCAAGACTGCAAGGATTCACCTCAGCTCTGGTAAAACCTTAGCCTGAGCTAAGGAAACATTTCTTGGTGCTGTAAAGTTTCAATATTGGGGATTGTGCAGCTGTGACTCTCCTGCCTCAGCAGCACAGAGGTTGTGCAAGCACAGTCCTGCTTCTGCATCTGCTTTATTTCCCAATGTTTGTTGCCTAAAAGCCAGGGCTGGAATGATTTGGGAGCAGTGTGGGGACCCAGCAAGGCTGTTACAAAAACGTGAGCAGGATGAGACTTAACAGGTAAGAAATGGGCTCAAGATTTGGGGATCAGAGCAGAGCATCCAGCAGCACATTCCTGTTCCTGCTGCTACAGGAATTCCTTCAGGGGGGAAAATCTGCAATAAATGGTGTGATGGTTTAGGTAGGAGCTTTTCAGGTGGAGAGAAGGAAGTGATTTCTGTCCTGTGCCAGTGCCCAGTGCTGGTTTGCAGTTGCAGAGGGTTTGTTCTGCTCTGAACTTGTCCCTCTGTCCGATTTTNAGGAGTAAATAAAACTCCTCACACTTTACTCTGCGGTGGAGTAGTAAACCATTTTACTAAGGGCTTGCTGGGGTCATGGAGAGCACAAATTTCTGGAATTGTTTGAGCTGAATCCTGAATATTCAGGGTGGATTAGGTGAGGCAATGTGGATTTTAAGGGAGTCACCTGCTCTGCTTGTTATCTCCTGTTATTCCAGTGGCTGCAGGAATGCACCAGCCAAAGGAATTCCTACAGAATGTTCTAAAGCTTTTTTTCCTTTCTCTTTGTTCCCCTCCTCACTTCAGAGAAGTTTCTCAGCAGAAAGCTGAGGTGTGGATGAGCTGATAAGGATCCTTTCCAGCCTTAAGGATTTTTTGTAGAATACTTGAGGTTTCTTCACATGAACTTTCCAAATAGTGTTCCTTGCACTTGGAAAGGTAGCAGGGAGCTTCTACAGAACTTGTGGTTATTTTCCATAAAATGCACATGCACATCTCTCCCTTAATGTTTTTCTCTGTATCTATAATAATTTTATTTTTGTTTTTTTAAGGATTGGACCTATCCCATGAGGAGAGAGATGCAGGTAGGACACTTTTATTTACTGTTTGAGGCAAAACCCATGGAGCTTTTAATGAGGAGAAAAAAGAACTGATATCAAAATCACTCTTTACCCATGAAGTGTCAGGCAGCACCATGGGAGACAGAATTAATTAGTTAATTAAAGTGAGGATTTGCCAGCTTGGAATACAGGTGTGTTTGCATCTCTGTGGTGCAGGTACTGAACAGAAATCCCCCAAATATTAAATTTTAGTCTTTCTGAATGTTTTTAGATGATTGCTAAAGCTTTGCCTTCTACCTTAGGCTTGGAAGTGTTCTCCAGTGGGATGGACAATTCAAATTTTCCTACCATGGTGTCAAAAATCAAAAATCTTTGCACAAGATAAGATCTGCACACCTGCATATCTTCATTGGGGGGAGATAAATGGTTCAAAACTGATCTAGACCAAGCTTGAGGAATTTTCATGTGTGTATCTCTTCTCATCAGAGCAATTTGGAATTAATTAAAAGACAGGATAATAAACCAAGTTCAGAGTTCCCTTCCCTGGATCTGGTGAGATGCAGGAATCCAGCTGAGCTTAATCCAAATCAAGGACTTTGTTCCTGCTCCAGAACAAAATCCCCAGCACCAAGATCAGGTTTCTCTTATCCTGCCAAACCATTTTTTCCCTTGTCCTGCTATAAATGACATTGATTACACATTTCAGGAATATGTAAATGATTTGTGTCCATGTTCTGAGTGAGTGAAATGTGTTCTTTCAAATCATCTGCAGTTGGTATTAAATGTCTGTTTTTCTCCTAGGAAATCTTACCTGGGTTATTTTTAGGCCCATATTCTTCAGCTATGAAAAGCAAGGTATGATTTTCAGAATATTCTCTCCCAGGGCAGCTTTGCTGTGGTGATTTGATTTGTTACTGTGGAGATCTGCTGTGTGTGTCTGTAGAGGTGGAAATTTGGTTGCAGTTCTGAACTGGATTGTGAAAAATGCCAAAGTGGAAGGAATATGTGCTGCATTTATGGGATGGTCTGAGCTATTTGTATTAAAATTGAGTCTTAAATATCATTTTTCTTAGAGAATTTAAGCTATTTGAGACACTTCACCAATTCCTATTTCCTTTGCTGAAGTGTTGCAAGATCTGTCACAACTGGGAACTCACACACAGACATGAAAACAAGGAAAATGAAATTCCAATGAAGTCAAGCACTGCTCAGGCACAGCTTGGCTCTGCAAATTTGCCTCCTGCTTTGAATGATCTGATTTTCATGGTCTGCTTCCAGCAAGAACCCAATGCTGGCTGCAAATTCCTCACTCATGTAGGGACTTGAAAATTCAGGTGAAGTGAAAGGTGGGGAGAAACAAACAACTTCATTGAACGCCTTCCTGTTTTGTCACTTTGTCTTTTGGAAAAACAACGTTTTTACACTCTGAATTCTAGAAAACCAGCTCAGACTTTCCTTGATATTTTTCTGTTTTCCTATTTTGTATCTAAGTACAGCTTTTCTTTTTATTACTATTTCTATGTAGAATATNGGGGCAGCCACAGCTTCTCTGGGCAATCTCGCCACGCTCACATTCACGGAACTGAGCCCCTCCGCTTCATCTCCTTTGGTTTTTACCCACTCCCAGCGGCCCCCACTCTTTTCTACGCCCCTTTCTGCGTTCGGTGTGTCTGAGCCTGTCTGTGTCCCCGTGCCTCGGTGAGGCCCCGGCCGTGTCCCGGTGTGAGCAGCCCCACAGGAGTTACCTGCGGGTCCCCTCGGGGCTCTCGGTGCCTTCCTCTCCTCCTCACTTCCATCGGGGAGGTGTTTGCACGGACTTGCAGAGCCAGGAGTCCTCTCCGGACCGGGACAGGTGGCAATGTGCGCTCGGGCTCTCAGCGCGGTGTCACAGGAGCGCGGTGTCTGATTTCTGAACTTGGCTGAACTCCCCGGCGCTGACCCTGGACGCTGCTGATTTGTTTTTGTGTGTCACAAACGTCCCCGAGTGTTCTCCCCCCCCTTTGGTGGCCTCAAATATTTAATGTGAGATGTCACAGCCTGCATGAGGGAAGCTGAGAGCGTGTGAGCTCTTCAGGCGTCTGTAGATTGTCACATTTCTAAACATCAGCATTTATTTGTGTTTGAACAGCATTGCTCAATGCTCTAAACTACCTGAAATATGGGAGTGACTCTTTTTGTTCTGTTTTTGTTGTCAGGGTTTAATGCTCCCCATCACTTCAGAGCTCTGGAGGTGTTACAAGTCATGTAGTTGTTCTCACAAAGTTGTAATCACTTTGTATCTCAGCACAAATCATCTGCCACCCTGTGAGCTTTATAGTTTGTTTGTTTTTAAATATCTTTTCTTTCTGGAGAAACAAATAGTGTTATCCACAGTTTTGTTAACTAAATCAGCCTGGGTGACTCTTCATCTAAAATGGCTAAAGAGGAATGTGGGGTTAAAATAAAAATTAATCCAGAGCTCAGTGCCAGTCTAACAACTCTTAACTGATGAAAACTGAGATTGTAGCACAGTGTCTTTCAGAGTAGCTTTTACTTTTGTCTTTTTGCATGGGCTGTCTGTAAATAATATAACTTGTAGCGTGTTAGAACTTCACATAGTGGGGATTTTCAAGAACTGATTCGAAAAACTCTATGAATTTCTTTTCAATGCGCTGCATTTGTGTCTGACTTGAAATGTCAGACATTTCTAAATGCAAGATCATGTCAACAAATTCTGAGCTCTGATAGAAGATAATAAACAGTTGGAGTATGTGGGGGAAAGAGGAAAGTGAAAGCCAGTGGTGAGTGTCAAAGTTCTTGTGGAGGTGACTCGTTAAAAGCAAAGTGTAGGAGACTGCAGCCCAGTCCTTAGGAAAAGCAGACTGAGGAAATGAAAATCATCCTGCCCACAAAATGTGGATTTTCCTGGGCAGCAGAAGATGCTCTTGTGCATTGCTGCTCTTTAATGAGCAGTAATCCCTCACATTTTGGGAAGTTGGTGATGGATGGTTTAATGCTGGCTTGGCAGATTTGATTTCCAGATCCTGGGAAGGGGAGGAGGGAGAGCTTGGGGAATCCCTGCTGCTCAAAAGTGCAGCTTTGTCACTTCTTTAACTCACCCCCAGCTCCCTTCTCTGAGCTGACACTCCTAACCATGTCACAGCTTTAATAATCTTAATAATTATTAAAAATAAAGCCAGATCTGCACAGGATCCCGTTCCTTCCTGGCACAAGGAGCAGCGTTGAGGGGAGAGCAGCGTGGATTGACAGGGGTGGGCTCTGATAAATAAATAGGTCACTTTTCCAGCCTGGCTGTTGTTTGTCCTGTCCCTAATCCATCCTGTGGTGGTTGGGATTGCTGCATTTCTAAACCTCTTGGCTCTTGATGCTTCTGGGAGCTCGGGAAATGCCAGAAAACCTGGAACTCATCATTCTGGCAAAGCTTTTGGGAGAATGTCTGTGAACTGGGTGTTCTTTTACAGTCTGGTGATGGTGAATATCTCAGTTTTATGAGTAATAGTGATTATATGTGATGTGGAACCATTTCTAAGCTTAGATTTTTTTTTTGTTTTTCTAAAATCACATTTTCTAAGGTCAGGTCTCAAACTTTCTTTAATTTGAGAAGTTCTGTGTTACATGTTTATACTAGGAGGAAAAAATATGGCTAAAAACCCATTTAAAAGCGTCAGGTTAATAACAATTAGTACATGTTGGCTTATTAGTACTTCTGGAAATAAGGACAAGAAGGACTGGAATAATTGAAGGAATTTAACAGAAATTATTTTCTCATTAAACTTTAAACAAAACAAAAAAACGACTAGGATATATATATATATATATATATATAAATATAATGAGAACACAGCAACAATTACCAGTTTATTTCTTTGTTAAAGCATATTTGCTTGCAATCAGGCTGAGCAAACCAAGTATTCATGATGTACTTAGATTTATTTTTTTTTTAGGACTCTCCATGGGTTTTATAATTAAATTAGCAGCCTATTGACTAAGCAGACATATTTGCCTTTTTTATTATGCATAAAAGCTGAGTTCTTTTTTAGCCCATGGAGTTTTTAAGGCTTGTTTGGGTTGTTTTAGCTGAGTGAGGATTGCTCAGCACAGCCCAGCTCAGGGATTAAATAAAAAGGGTGTGAAAAGGCCATTGGGAACAATTGTGATATTCTGTGTGAGTATTCTTGGAGTGCCTAACCCTGACCCTTCGTGCTTCCTGTCAGCTCAAGGATTCTGCCCCACTGCTTTATTTCCTGTTTTATTGGGAAAAAATTGTATGATGGAAGTTGTTAGCAGAGCTGTGTGCTGATGGTATTTAGCGAGGTGCCTGCAGGACTTATGTTAGAGAATGGGACAAATAGGAATTTTGTTTGTACTTTTCCTTTAGTTTCACCTTTTATCATTTTCCGTGGCTTGTGCTTCTCTCTGCTAAAATAACATTTATTTCCTGATTTGCGTGTTGCCCCTCCTGATTTGCGTGTTGCCCCTCCGTATTTGCATGCTGCCCCTCCTAATTTCCTTCCTGATTTCCTTATTATTTCCTTCCTCATTTCCTTATTATTTCCTTCCTCATTTCCTTATTATTTCCTTCCTCATTTCCTTATTATTTCCTTCCTCATTTCCTTATTATTTCCTTCCTTCCTTCCTTCCTTCCGCCACTTCCTTCCTTCCTTCCTTCCTTCCTTNTTTTTTTCTTTCTCCACAGCTACCTATACTCCAGAAACATGGAATAACTCATGTAATATGCATAAGGCAGAACATTGAAGCAAATTTTATTAAACCAAACTTCCAGCAGTTATTTAGGTGAGAAATGACCAAGATTCCTTTTTGGGTGTGTATATGTGTTCTTTCCAAATATTTTCACATTGTCAGAATTCTTTGAAAAATGTGCTGAGGTGCAGCAAGACTTGAAATCCAAACCATGAATTTTATTCATCCTGAAGGAGTGTGCAGATGAGATTTATGCACAGTTTGCAGTAACTGGTTTTAGTTTCCAGTGATTTCTGAGAGGTGAAATCTGTCCTGGACTGAATTTGTGGAGTTCAGAGCAGGAATTAAAGGTTGTGCAGATTCCCTCCTGCAGGGGAGGGGTTGCAGCAGCTCTGGGCTGTTGTGAACTCACAGGAAATTCTCATTGCAGGTATTTAGTCTTGGATATTGCAGATAATCCAGTGGAGAATATAATCCGATTTTTCCCTATGGTGAGTACATGACTTGGGAAGGGAAATGCTCAGGAGTTTTCTGAACTAACAAATACCAGTTTGACTTTTGGGATACTCAGCCTCAGGCACCTGCAAGTGCTGCCAGCTCCTGACTTTATTATTGACACTTTAATGAGTGTAATTAACTCTTTTTTACAAGAGTGGAAGTAGGTGGAGCTTGTTATGGTATCAAAAAAAAAAAAGAAATAAAAATTAAAAAAAAGTGGCCTCAAAACAGAGAGATTTGGTCATGGGAGAATTCTGGGGCCCTTGACCTGAGGGGAAACTTTGAGCCCAAGAATATTTACATTTCTTGTATCAAATTCAAAATAATAGCTAAGTTTTACAGTTTGCTGCAGAGGAATTAAAAAGTCACTTGTAAATTAAACAATGCCCATTATTAGAACAAACCCCTGGTTTTGTGCTGTGGGTCTGTATGTTTATTTTAGTCCAGTTTGCAACTGAGCAAAAGGATTTTGTTCCTTCTTCCACCAAAAAATCCAAAAGTGCCTTCCCTGGTTTTGCACTGATAATTTTAGGAATAGTTTAAAGTACAAAAGAAATACAAATGTCCAGTTGAAGTGGGGTTTAAGTCTGCATAAAAGTGCATTATTGTCACTGATATAAAAATTATACCCAATTTAGGTGTTACTACAACTTGCACTAAAAATAATCTGAAAGTTTAAGTCTTGTTTTGTTTTTTTTTTTTCTTTTCAGACTAAAGAATTTATTGATGGAAGTTTACAAAGTGGAGGTAAAATTAATATTAACTTTCCCCTCATAAAATTTAACTTAGGGGTATGGATTAGAGGCTCTTAAATAAGAGCTTTTCTTAATTTTGGGGGGTTTATTATGCTTGATTTGAACTCTGCTAGGCAAATTCAGAGCAAAGTGTTCATTCATTTACCTCTAACTGGAAAATCAACCTCTGGGATTTGGGGATTTTTCATGAAACTCAGCTGTGTTTTGGGGTTTTCTTGTCCTCTCTCAAATGTAGGACCTGAAATCTGCATTGTGGCCATTCTGTCCCTCAGAATCCTCCCAGGAGCAGCAATTTCAGTTCTGGATCCC